CTGAGTTCCTCATTGTGGGGGAGAGGATGGAATATAAAACTAAGTAAATAAATAAATAAATACATGGTTTACCATGTCTGGTTACAGACACCTCAACCATCTCAAAACAACACTTTGGACCAATTATTTATTTATTTGCCATATTTATACCCCGCCTTTCTCTTCCACAGACAGGGACTCAAGGCGGCTTACAATGGCACATACACAGTGGCTTAAAACAACACATTCACCTAAAAATAGTTTTAAATTACAACATATTAGATGTGATTAAAATACATTCAAAGTTAAAAACACACCATCCAAATTTCAAGGTCTAAGGCCATTCCAAGGTCAAATTGCACATAATTCTATATTTGGAATACTGCATTGCCCTAATTTTAGAAAGCCTGCTCCCAAAGCCAGGTTTTGACTTTATTCCTGAAGGCTAGTAGGGAGGGGGATGATCTGATGTCTCTAGGGAGGGAGTTTGAGGGGCCACCACTGAGAAGGGGCCACCACTGAGAAGGCCCTGTCTCGTCCCCGCTAGGCGTACTTGTGAGGCAGGCGGGACTGAGAGCAGGGCCTCCCAGATGATCTTAGTCTCCAAACTGGTTCATCGGGGAAGATACATTTGGACAGGTAGCCTGGGCCAGAACTGTTTAGGGCTTTATACACTAAAGCTAGCACTTTGAATTGCGCTCGGTAGTGGAGTTGTATGCTCCCTAAATGCCGCTCCGGTAAGCAACCTGGCTGCCGCTCACTGGACCACTTGGAGATTCCAAGCACTCTTCAGAGGCAATCCCATGTAGAGCGCGTTGCAGTAATCTATACAGGATGTAACCAGAGTGTGGACCTCCGTAGCCAAGTCAGACTTCCCAAGGTACAGGCGTGGCTGGTGCACAAGTTTTAATTGTGCAAAAGCTCCCCTGGCCACCACTGAAACTTGAGGTTCTAGGTTCAGCAATGGCTCCAGGATCACTCCCAAACTGTGAACCTGCGCCTCCAGGGGTAGTGTAACCCCATCCAGCACAGGCTGTAACCCTAAGCCTTGTTCGGTCTTTCGACTCACCAGGAGGACCTCTGTCTTGTTTGGATTCAATTTCCATTCACATGGAAATGGAAGATAAAGACTCATCCTATCCATGATCGTTTTGAGGATACATTAACCCCATGCAGCCTTTGGTAAGTACAACTTGTGAGAGGCATGTACCTGAACACTTCACACTGGCATCCCGGCTGTGGCTGCAACTGTGCTCTCCCCAGCTCCCTTTCTGGCACTCCCTCAGGAATTCTTCTTCTCCTGTACAGTTGATGCTCTCCAGCCAAATGGGGCCCGATCCTTGGCCATAGTGTGCTCTGCCCAATGCTTTGGAGGCATTGCCACAGCCCAGCTGCCTGCAGACCACTTGGGCATCTTGTAAATCCCAGCCAGCATCACAAATGGTCCCCCATGTGTCATTGTGAAAGACTTCAACCCTCCCTGAGCAGGGACTTGTGCCATTCATTAAACGGAGATCTTTTAAAAAATATAGTAAAAGATTAATGGTGATTAATTTATGGACAAAAATTCTGTTCTTAGCCTTGACTAAACTACACACACACAGAATCTAGATATACTCCAGTTGGGAGTAATTAGCAGGAATTCTTGCCATTGTTTTTGCTACTTTGGATCCAATTGGTAAAATAGAATTTAGTATGATTATTATTACTGGATCCTCTGTACTAGAAGGAATCATTGGACTGGATGTCTGCATGGCAGCTAAAAGTCCCAGGTTTTGTCCTATGCATATCATGGGTATATCCTTTGCTCTGGGCATGATCAAAAGCCATTGTTTCATGGTATGAGTCATAGCAAGAACTCAGGCCTAAAAGGAGAATGAGTAGAATTATTCTCTCTTTCTAACAACTTGCTCACCACTGAGTGTGATTACAACATGGGCAATTAAAAACACCTATGTGTAAATATGATTCTAGGCTGTCTACACTTGTATTTCAGGGTTTTTTTTTGTTGTGTCAGGAGTGACTTGAGAGACTGCAAGTCGCTTCTGGTGTGAGAGAATTGGCTGTCTGTAAGGACGTTGTCCAGGGGACGCCCAGATGATTTCAGGTGAGAAGAGGCTTACACTGCCACAGGGAACTACCCAATAAATATGTTAAGAAAATAAAAATGGGCATGTAAATCTACCTAATTTATTTGGATGCAATCAATACATTTGTGAAGACATGTTCTGCACGTGTATCGAGACTTACTTACTCAATGCTATGTCTTACTTGAAGCCATAAGAGTAGGGCAACCAATAAGCAAATAAATGCAGATTTAGATCAAAATTGCAGAATGAATGATTAATCTTAAATTACATTAATAGTACAAACATAAAATCTTGGTTGAGACTCTGCATGGTAGATAATGTATAGCTATTAGCTAAGGCTAAGGTCCGTTTCCAGATCTTGGTTATTAATAGTGTGTAAACTGTTTTTTTCCCTCTTACCTATAAAATCCTTTTCTTTCTTTCTTTCTTTCTTTCTTTCTTTCTTTCTTTCTTTCTTTCTTTCTTTCTTTCTTTATATCATTTCTACCCCGCCCATATCAGCCCAAGGGCAACTCAGAGCGGCGAACAGCCGGCACAATTCAATGCCATATATAAAATACGTAAATCAATAAAAATAAAACATCACATTATATCTAAAACATCAAAACAGTGAACCACAAAAAAATTCAAACTATGTTGTCATATTCAGTCCTCATCCGTTCCATTGTCTTAGCCGTTCCTAGGTCGTTTTCCAATTCAGGTTTATCTGATTAAGCTGAGGCTCCAAAAGCTTGCTCGAAGAGCCAAGTTTTCAGTTTTTTCGAAAGCTTAGGAGGGAGGGGGCCGACCTGATATCCCTGGGCAGGGAGTTCCACAGCCTAGGGGCCACCACAGAGAAGGTCCTGTCTCTTCTGCCCGCCAGACGTGCTTGTAAAGCAGGCAGGATCGAGAGCAGGGCCTCCTCCAACGATCTCAAATCCCTAGTGGGTTCATAGGGGGAGATGTGTTCGGATAGATAAGCTGGGCCGGAACCGTTATAAGGCTCATAAAGCTTTATTACAGTAATGCTAAAGGTTGGGCATGGACTGTATTGAAGGAGTGGAGATGTGGGAGAAAGGCCTATAAGGTCAAGAGGGAAGACATTCCCCTCTTTGCTGCCTTACAGCTGCTTTACAAAGCAAGCACCATACGTAGTCTTTCCTAGCACTAGACATTTCCTCTGGGATTTCTTTTTTGAATATCCAGTTTTTAATCCAGTCTGGTTAATTTCAGACTCCTTTGCTGTAAAATGTAAAAGTCCAGAGTGAATAATCAATCTTACTTTAATTTTCAACAGTTACCTGAGCACACAACACCAGCTGATTCATGTGAGCGACATGGATTTCTTCTCTCAAACATACATTGGTTAAAGGCAACTTCTGTTCCCAAACATTTAGGTTCAAAAGGGAAGATTCTGACATCCTTTCCAGTCCCAAAGAGAGATCCTCCTGGGGCTGACAGGGCAGCTCCACAGCCAAGTTCTCTGCACACGACTTGAGCAGCACGCAGGTCCCATTCGTCTTCACACACTGACCACCAGTTCAAATTCAAAAACACTTCAACTCTGCCAGAGCAACGGTTTGTGCCATTCACCAATCTGGTTCCTGTTGGTTTTGGAAGAACAAAAGGTGCTTTCATTGATTTGAAGGCCAATTCCATGATTTCTCTTGCATACTTTCCTGGTTATAGGACCTCTCTTAGTGAGACATAAGCTGGCAATTGTGAAATCAATGCAAGAGTGTCGCAAAGGCCTGCAGCAGAACTCCTATCTCCCAGGAATACTCATTTGTTGGACACTCCCCATTCATAACCAATAGTCCACATATTCATTTGGAGACCTCTCCCTCCCTTTTGTAGAGTTCTGTCTTTTGTCTTTCAGTGAACTGAGGAAAATTGAGTTACGGTTTAGAGTGGGACTGGATTTTAGAATTGAGGATCGCAGAGGAATCCTTGCTCTCCTTCAACTTCCTTTCCATTTCCAATAGGTAAGATTCTCCAATTATAATAACCTGCCTGGAATGTAAGGTGATCATCATAATAATAAAAAAACTCCAGCTAGATAGAGCTGATCTGCTTCCTGCTTCTTGGCAGGGGTTGGACTGGATGGCTCACAAGGATCCTGTGATGCTATGAACTGATAAACACAGTTGACCAAAACCTAAGCAGAAAGAGTTAAGATCTTGTGTTTATGGTTGTATTTAACGGGGAAATCAGCCTCAGGGAAGAGCCAGAGGGAAATCACCCGCTGGGCAAAGCTTCCAGGTGCTTTTAGGGAGAACTTACTATATAAGCCTCAGGGGCCCATGTGCTTAGAGAGAGGAGCACAAGGTATGTGGGGAGGGGAGGGGGTCCTAGGCTGGGCAGGCAGAAGGCCCGGGCTCCCAACTCCCAAGAACAACCCAGACCCCCAGGAAGTGCTGCAGCCATGAGTAGCCAGGGACCGTTGGGTTGGGGAGATTCTATTTCTTGAAGCCTCTGGGTCGACATGATTCAGTAAAGAAGAGTAGAGAACAACACCCAAAACCAGGGGAATTCTAGACAGGAAACAATCAGGGCCAGCTAATAATCTCCCAATGACAGATTCCCCCAGGCAGTAAGCAGCCAGACCTTGAAGCTGCAAGGCCAATAAATGATAATCAAGGTGGCCAATTACAACTTTCCCACCTGCCTCAAACAGACAAGAGTTCTTTCTCAAATCCTGGACATTCACCAAAATGATAAAACAGAGGAGCCTTCTATCACTCTATTCATCCAGGTAGACAGAGAAGAAGGAGAAGGAGAAGGGGAAGAGGAAGGGGAAGGGGGAGGGGGAGGGGGAGGGGGGGAGGGGAGGGGGGGGGGAGGAGGAGGAGGAGGAGGAGAGGAGGGGAGAGGGAGAGGAGGAGGGGGAAGGAGGGGGAGGGGGAGAGAGAGAGAGAAGGAGAGAGGGAGAGGGAGGGAAGGGGGGGAAGAGGGAGAAAGAGAGGGGGGGAGGAGGGAAGGGGGAGGGGGAGGAAGAAGGGAGGGAGAAGAAGGGGAGGGAGGGGAAGGGGAAAAGAGAGGGGAAGGGGGAGGAGAAGAAAAAGAGAGGAAGGGAAGAAGGGGAAAGAGGAAAGGAGAAAGAAGATTGTATTGTTGTGTTGTGTGTTGAGGCCTCGGCCTGTGTAAGCCGCATCGAATCCTTCGGGAGATGCTAGCGGGGTACAAATAAAGTTTAATAATAATAATAATAATAATAATAATAATAATAATAATTTAATATGCTTTTATTGAAGAAGTGTTCTTAGCTATAAACTCCTTTTTCTTATAAGGCTTATAAGCCTTTATTACAGTAAAGCTAAAGTTTGGGCATGGACTGTATTGAAGAAGTGGAGATGTGGGAGAAAGGCCTATAAGGTCAAGTGGGAAGACAGTCCCCTCTTTGCTTCCTTACAATGTTCACAAAGCAAGCGCCATACGTAGTCTTTCCCAGCTCAAGGCATTTCCACTGGGATATATTTTCTGAATATCTGGTTTTTAAGACTGATTAATTTTAGACTCTTCTGCTGTAAAATGTAAAACCCAGAGTGAATAATCAATCTTTACATTAATTTTCAACAATTACCTGAGCACACAACACCAGCTGATTCATGTGAGCGACATGGATTTCTTAAATCAAACATACATTGGTGAAAGGCAATTTCTGGGCCCAAACATTTAAGTTCATAATCGTAGTTTCCGACACCCTTTCCATTCCCAAAGAAAGAACCTCCTGGGGCTGACAGGGCAGCTCCACAGCCAAGTTCTCTGCACACGACATGAGCAGCACTCAGGTCCCATCTGCTATCACACAGTGACTGCCATTTTCCATTGAGGAACATTTCAACTCTGCCAGAGCAACGGTTTGTGCCATTCACCAATCTGGTTCCTGTTGGTTTTGGAAGAACAAAAAGTGCTTTCATTGATTGGAAGGCCAATTCCATGATTTCTCTTGCATACTTTCCTGGTTATAGGACCTCTCTTAGTGAGAGAAAAGGTGCAATTGTGAAATCAATGCAAGCGTGTCGCAAAGGCCTGCAGCAGAACTCCTATCTCCCAGGAATACACATTTGTTGGACACTCCCCATTCATAACCAATAGTCCACATATTCATTTGGAGACCTCTCCCTCCCATTTGTAGAGTTCTGTCTTTGGTCTTTCAGTGAACTGAGGGAAACTGAGTTACAGCTTAGAGTGGGACTGGATTTTAGAATTGAGGATTGCAGAGGAATCCCTGCTCTCCTTCAACTTCCTTTCCATTTCAAATAGGCAAGATTCTCCAATTATAATAACCTGCCTGGAATGTAAGGTGATAATCATAATAAAAAATACTCCAGTTAGTTAGAGCTGAACTGATTCCTGCTTCTTGCCAGGGGTTGGAGTGGATGGCTCACAAGGATTCTGTGATGCTATGAACTGATAAACACTGCTGAGCCAAACCTAAGCAGAA